CTCCCTCTCCCTCCCTCCCTCCCTCCCTCCCTCTCTCTCTCTCTTTCCCTCTCTCTCTTTGTTTCTTCATTTTTACACACTATACAGGAAATAAAAATGATTAAAAAAATCAGGCCCTGTAGTAGTTTGTTTTTATACTAGTTCAAAAAATACAAAAAAGTTAAATACATAAGACTCCCTTATTAAATATATTTAACATATTAAATGAAGGAAAATGTAACATTAGTAAGTATATCATTCTTTCTGGTATTTGTAATGTTTATTGGATTTCATAACACTAACCCTGGTACAGTTAAACACATTTAGGTTTGTCAAAGTAATTTTTATGAGCTACTGTCTGTTTATAGAGTAAAAACACTGGGTTATGATAATCTTCAGTAATAGTAGTAGAATTGCTAGGAATGATTCATTCACATCAAAGAATTGTAGAGTTTTTCAAATATAAGTTTCATGATATACAAATATACATTAATTCTTACTGTATTGTAGTAATCTATGAAGTTTCCTACAAACACAGGAAGAAATTCTAAAATCAGTGGTTCTTTAAAAACATGAAATTTAATAAGAATTAATCATAAAATATACAAATTGAAGTTAAACATAGCTATTTAGACTGAAATGTAATTGAATTGTTTAGACTCAATTCATTGTACAAATTGAATGTGTGTCTGGAGTTTATGTTCTAAGGAGGCAGTGACATCTGTTTTTCTCAAACTACTTAATGAGCTTTTAGTTTAGCGTGCTAAGCTAAACACCCCTAGGTGATACTATTCAGCGATTTTTCCCCCACAGTCTGTTCTGGACATGGAATGATCGGGAGGGCCTCAAGAGTGACAACAAAGTACTCTTGATAGGAGTGAGCAAAGGTTTGCACCACTGCACGGCTTCATAATGCGGTGACTCAAATCTGTATCCTGAGGATTAGTTATTCAACTGTATAATAGTGTATTCTTTAAGTCTCTGCCAGCCTTACAGTCCACGTTATAATCATGCTGCTAATTTGATGCCGTATTCCTTTTGTGATCATGACTAAGAATTATATATGCAAATTATGGGGATGTGTAAATTATTTTCTTAGGTTTGTCCTAGTTAGTGTTTTCTATTGCTGTGAAGAGACACCATGACCATGGCAACTCTTAAAAAGATAACATTTAAACCGAGCGGTGGTGGCACAGGCCTTTAATCCCAGCACTGGGGAAGCAGAGGAGGGCGGATATCGAAGCCAGTCTGGTCTACAAGAGTTAGTATGCTCCAAGACTACAGAGAAACCCTGTCTTGGAAAAAAAATAAATAAATAAAAGATAACATTTAATTGAAGTAGTGGCTTACAGTTTTAGAGGTCCAGCCCATTATCATCATGACAGGAAGCATGGCAGCGTGCGGGCAGACATGGAGCTAGCTATGTCTTGACCAGAAGCCAGCAGGAAGTTGAATGACTGTCACACTGAGGGAAGCTTGGGGTAAAAGAGACCTGAAATCCTGCCCCCCCCACTTCCTTTCTTTCAAACCACTACAGGTATATTAAGATTAAAAACTGGGTACTTTTGGTTTATGGTACTAAAATTCCTTTGTTACGTAAAAGAAACTTCATGTTGGGGCTGGAGAGATGCTGCTCTCACAGAGGACCCAAGTTTAGTTCCAGCACCCATATGGCAACTCTCAACTGTCTGTTACTCCTGTTCCAGAGGATCTAACTCCTTGCCTTGGTCTCCTTGGCACCAGGTATGCATGTAGTACACATTACATATATGCAGACAAACATTCCTACACACATCCTTATGAAAAACTTAAAAAGATAAAATCCATGTTACTCTTAAGTGTTTTTTGAAAATAATAGAATATAGAAGAAATGAAATATGAGTCAAGAATGAGGCTTTCTTGGATAGTCTTGCATCATATGTTGGCAACTAGTTAACATTTCATAACATCGATCACTAACAGATACTGTGTGTCGGGCCCTGATGAACACACCTTGTTAAACTCCTACAATCTTCACATTAACTCTCCAAATGAAATGGATAAATGAGATTTTAGATTCTTTACTGTTCATTTTTCATATTGAAAATGGTCTGGAAATCCCATTTCCTTGAGTTCTAGGTAAACTAATCAGGTTGTCAAACCTGAAGTGAATAACATGAGACTACTTACTAGTCTTTACCTGTAATTGAAACATTTGTTTATTCTGCCCCAGAAACACCAACATGCATTATTATGGGTTGTCCTAGGACTTCAGAGATATTTTCTTTTCTAAAATTCATTGAATTCAGTTGTGAGACACCTGGGTAAAGCTCTAGAACAAGTTACAATCCTGTTCTTCATGTCATTTTTAAGTTGAAGATTGGTCCTAAAAAATG